GCAGAAGCGCCGTGTTGTTGCTTTTTTTTCCCCCGGCGGCACAGTCTCTGCGACCAACAAATAAGCGAATCTTCAGCTGTGAACCGGGCCTGACGCCTTCCCAGTTCAGCCCAGTCAGCAGCCCGTCGGCTTCATGTGTTGGCTTGTGTCAGTCACCGGAATAACGAAGTATAAGCCCGTTTTCTTTTCTGAGGACTCTCGGATCTGTTCCTTCGAAGCTGTGGTGTGTTTTTAAGTAACACGGTTCTTCTGCGGTGCCGAGATGATGTTTGGGGGTTTGGGGAGGCGGTGTGATCCGCGCTGGCCTTGCAGGTGTCGGAAGGCCTGCCGGAGAGTGCTGGTCCGATCTGACCTGTGTGTTAGTCTTGAGGGGGACCGACCTGACCGGACCTGGGCTTTTTGGTTGGGTTTTATCCGGGGTCATTAGACGGGTATGTGTAACAAGTGTACGAAAAACCGCCATGATTAAGTGAAAGAAAACAATTACCAGAATAAAAAAATCAAGACAAATTCAAGGATTTATTTTAACACGCATCGTTTACAATCCACAATGCCTGGCCTGCAGAAATTAACGTCCTGAAAGCCATGTGTCCCTCTCAAGAATACAATTCAACTGCATTGCATAGCCAACCTTGCAGGGTAACAGCAGTCATGTAAGTCTTGTGAAGACATGCTGCTTGTTGACAGCATGGCAGTGTACAGGGAGAAATGACAATGAAATTCCTCCTGTGCTCATTTAGGAGCTCATTTAGAAAAGACATAAACGAAAACCCTCGATTTTGTGGCAGAATACAGAACATTCTAGATCGAGGTGTTTTGTCAACAGGCAGGTTATACCTTTCCCACTTTTAATGCATACCCACTGATTTCATCTTGTGGATATCCAGGCAGTTGTGAAGAGTATGTAAGAAAATGTAGTTTCTCTGCCGTGCGGCTGAGAAGATCTAATAAGTCCCATGTGAATAAATAAGGTTTGTGACTGGAGCAAGACAGCGTGGACAGGTGGTGGGTGGTGGATGTCCGTCTGGTGCCCCTAGTGTGGTGTGAGCTGTAGCCACGCATGTCTGGAAGAGCCTGGCTCTACAGCCCAAGCATGCACGAGTAAATGGTTGTTACTGAAGGGGCTTTATCTGAACATTGTTCCTCAAATCTGTTGGCAAAAGCTGACAAAGCCCCCTGTTTCTACAGCGTGATCAGGAGTGGATATTGGAGGAAAGTGTTGTCAACCACTTAAACCCCCTAAACCACTTCAAAAAAAAAATGCTTTAAATTTGACCAGGGAGCTGTACTGAGCAAGGAGGGGTTCATTTTTTCAGTGTGGAATTAAAATATAAAATATAATTGGACGCTCATAAAAAAATCAATCTGGAAGGAGAAATGCAGGGTGTTGGGATTCAGTGTCCTGCAAAAGGGAAACGTTTGCGTTGTCTGAGTCACTTCAGTACCACGAACTGTGCTCAGTAGCACAAGCCCCGAGTTAGTCCCGGCACGAGATGTTGAAAGCTTATTCAGCTCTTTTATCTTTAATTCAGCATTCTGGATTGCATTTTTGCATGTTGAATTTCCCACGCTCCAGCTTTTGTTCGGAAGAGGATACAAGCTCATTCGGCATACTGAAGGAGACCCTGGAAATTATAGTTCTGTGCACGAAGCCGAAAACTGTCACGAATATGTTTTCTCATTCGACGGTGTTGTCTCCTGTGATACAAGATGTGTGTTGGACTGCCGGAATAAACATAAACAGTGGCTATCGGTTAATTTGATATCCTGTGTGTTTTCATTTTGATTTGCATTTCTCTCTTTTCCTGGTTATTTATGGCACAAAAATACATTTTTAAACCTCCCTCCTCCCCCATCTCCTTTGGTGTGTATGTGGACAATACCAAGTGTACCTCTTTCATATTGCTTTCATCTGTGCGAGGAGGAGATGGTCACTGCTGGATATCTTAAGCAATTTTGACGCTTTTATGAGTTTAGCAGAAGGCAAGACTGAAACTTAGTGGGTCTCTTTTTTTTTTTTTCTTTTTTCACGTTGAGGGGTAGAAATTGAGTTGCTCGGATCCGTCGTGGATTTTGGCTTAAATATTTGGAATAGACGTCCCTCCATTTTCCGTGATTTACAAACTGCGAGGAACGGTGCGTCATCTAATTGTGATGTTGAACATGAGTCCAATAAATAAAGATTATTTTTAATATCTTGCTTTCAAAATGTGGTTAATTCGCATCGGTTCACTGTCCTTTTTTTGCCATAATTCGTTTTCCTTGTTTCAGAGAAAAGTACCATCCATACCGTGGTTCTGTTTTCATTTTTGCCTGCTTTCCTTCGCCTTGTGACTTTGTGCTGCGTCCTTCGTCGTTTCCCATCACACCGTTGCGGCACGAGGTGGTGTGTATTTGATCTTGGCGACCGGGCCTGTAAGGTGGCGCTCCAACCGAGAGAACGAAACGGAACCGGGTGAATAAGATAGCGTTTCGTCCCGTGACCGGGTTCCGTTCAAGCTCATATTTTCCTCATTCTCGTTCAAGGCGATTTTTCCCCCAAAAAATAAATTAAAAAAAAATTCTGTTGTTATCTCCTTTTGTCGTACTTGGTGGAGAGGCCTGACCTGTGGAATTTTATTCATTTTCTTTCTTCCTTTCCCGTTTTGGCACGCTGATATATTTTAGGACCTGGAGTAGTAGGCGAGTAATATAAGCGCGCGGGACGGGCACAAAAAAGCGGAGAGGCGGACAGGCCCGGCGCTCTGGTCAGCGGAGCGCGGTCGCGCCGGCGGGTAGAGATGTCTCGCAGACGGAGTCGCAGCGGGAGCCCCTCCCACCACACCACCAACAGCAATGACCCGCGGGACCTGGAGAGGAGAATTTTTGTGGGGAATTTGCCCACCACCCTCATGGACAGGAAGGACCTGGAAGACCTGTTCAGGCCCTACGGAAAGATCAACGGTTAGTAGTGCGACGCTACGGTGTCGTTGTATTTTTATTTTATTTTTCCTGTCCCGTCAAAAATCCCGTCTGAACGCGTCTCGGTGTTGTGCGGACCCGACCGCTGCGATGCGGCTTCACCTTGCCAGGCCTGTTGACCACCCCCCCCCACCCGTAGTGCTCATGAATGGGCCTGCCTTCCTCGGCCCAGCTTTCTAGTGTAAATGTAGATTAAGGGCCGGATACTAAACTTGTATCCTCTCCATCCCACACTTGCTGTAACAGGGCAGCCTGCAAAATATCTTGACTCCGTCAGTCCTAAAATTAAAATACTCATCTCAAATCTTATCATCCCAGACTCAAAAAAAAATACGTTTTTTTTTTACTGTTTTAATTTAGTATGAACCTTTTAGGATTATAGATCACAAAAAAGGTTATCTTGTAGCTTCCAGATTGAATCGCATTTTAACAGTGTTAGTTTTTCGTGAATGGTTTGCGAAGACTGATGAGTTAAAAAATAGAGCTAATGCACATTGTCCTACTAGAGACCCTTTCACCCAGTGCCTTGTTCTGCCAGCTGAAACAGCAGTGCTGATCCGGACACAGGAGACAGGCAAATAATTTTGAAGTTTTCCTTTCATTTTCCCACTTTATTTAATTTGTTTTGGAGTTTTGACCTCCACGGCCAACTTCAGACTTGAGAAGTATTTGTCCGTTTCCATGGAGGTGTCTTCAGTGTTGTTAGTCAGAGCAGCCCAAGAACTGTTGCTGTGAATGTAAGATCATCTCGATAAAAGGAGCAAGCAGACTGTGCAGAGCAGTCAAGCCGTTGGTCATAAGACCCAGTTGAGTTAAGGAAACAGGCTATCCAGATAATTCATTTTTTTTGTAAATATATATTTTTGTTTTCTGTTGTAGTCCACTAAGATTAAATAGATTTTGATGCAGTGTTCTGAGAAATATTGAGTCGATAAGTTTTTCAAAATCAGAGCTGACAGTGTCAAGGTTTTATTAATTATTCTGTTCTGTACCAGTTCCAGAGGGCAAAGGATGACTGTGACTGCGAGGAAAGTTCTGCAGCTGAATTGATGTAAACAGTATTTAAGTAAAAGAAATGCATTGCAAACATACAAATATCTGTCCCCTAGCAATTAAACCGAATGTGTGCAAGTAATCAAGAAATATCTGCTGGATTGCCATTTATCAGAAGCACATTGCTGCCATCAAAAAATGTTATTGTGACAGTTCTTGTAAACGCATGATAATCATCACGGAAATATAACTTTTTTTTTTGTGAAGTGGTGTACTTCAGTCAGTTTGTTGTATGTGATTTATCATACTGTCAATGTGGAAAGTAAATGAACTTTGTATCTGAGGCTATTTCTTTTTTGTTAAGCTTACTGTGTTAAACTAACCCCATGTAGTCTTTAAGTTTAAAATTAATTCCATTTGTTGTTTGGTCATATGCAATAACAGGCTGGTGTGTGTGTTATACTGGTTGATCTCGCGTTCAGTCTGAAGATTGCCTTGTGTAGTCAACCGTAGGTCGGAAAGTAGCCATATATACCCTGCGTTACAGGGGCATTTTCACAAGCAAAATTTTACATGTTCTAGCTGAGTTTGTCATAAATATAAAGGCCTTTTCAACTTCAGAAGTCAGAATTTACAGTGTGGAGCTTGAAGTAAACATTGCTTGGTGTGTGAATAACTGGAGTAGAATCAAGATCACAAAATGGATGGACCATAACTGCAAGCAAAGCTGAAAGGTGTCCATAGTCAAAAGTAATGCAAAATGTGATCTTGCTTTGTGATCTGTATGAGGATGGATGAAAGAATGAGAATCTCAGCAAATTCCTTAATAAGGCATTTACTACCCTTTTGGCTAAGGTGAGCATTATTGAGTGAGCTGCTTATGTTTTGGACTAGATAAGTTTCAGTACTGTACTTCTGTGCTTCCTCTTGTGTGTTAAAAGTTGCAGATTTGAACCACAGGTACAAAAGTGTGGCAAAAACACACTGCTGGACTACTAATGTAGCAGAGCCCCTTATTCTCCTCTGTCCCCCTGAGAGAGAGTTGTCTTCCTTGTAGCCTGTTCCTGTCAGATCTGGGAAGCTGTTTAAAGCTGGGCCCCTCTTCAGTCCTGGACTGGGAGGCCTCTGAGGTAAACCAGGTTGCAGATGCACCGGGTGGACCAGTAGGTGGCGCAGTATTTTCAAAACAAAGCCGGGATGTGGTGACAGCTGTAGGCGGTACTGTCCTTCAGAGGAGCTGCAAAGCAAAGTTGTGCCTGCTTGGTTATTAAAGATATTAAACACCGTGGGAGTGTTCAGAACAGGACTGCTGCTGGTCCTGGCTGAATTCATGCAGGGTTTGTATAGGTTCTCCTCCCTCCGTTCCCCCTTAATTCCGTGGGTGAAGCAGTCTCTCATTTCTCCACCTGATCTGTGTCCTGGAGCAGCTGCCTTGTGTTCAGTGGGGGTGAAGTGGGTCCCCTTCTCTATGGGAACCATTTTGGGGTGCAAGAGATTATTTAATCCTAACCCCGCAAATGAAGATCCTCCTGAGGGAGAGCTGCAAGTTGTTGTAAGCAGAATAGGAAGCACTTTGTACACTAAATGAGACAAATCTCATTGGTTTTTATACGTGCTAAAACTATAGCTTTTTACAGAACTGAGCTTGCAGTATAGTTTAAATACACGTTCAGATTGTGGCAGAGATAAATTGCCTTTGCACAGACCAGCTTTCCTTTTTTAAAGCAGTTTGTACATCTTGCTTGTATGCCTCTGTTGTCTAATCAGGATAATCAAGGGAAAATCTGACTCGGATCAGGTGTCTCAAACATATTAAAGCAAAGAAACTCGCAGCAAAATGTACTGATACAGATTTTAAGACTTGGGTGCGAGAGAATCAGTTTCAGATTTATGTCTTAAAAGTATTTCAAGGTCTTATTAAATGCATCAATGCTTTTTAAATGCTTTTTCTAAAAGTGTGTGAGTTCTTTAACCCGAAATGGACAGGAATGACTTTTCTTTTTCCCCATAACATTGTAGTGTTTCAGCCAGCAGAGAGCACTCTGAAGGGTACATTGATGTGCCAGACCAGGCTCTCCCGTCTCTAGTCAGAACTGCTGCTGCTGGAACAAACCTCAAACTTTGAAAATGTTGAGAAAGCAAAGAAATGCTCTAGGAAAAGCGTCATGCTTGTGTAAAGACATTGGTTTTTATTAATATATTCCAGAATGAAAAGGTCAAAATTCTTTGCCTGTCACCTTGAGCCATGCTGGCAGACTTTGCACACTGTGTCCTTGTGGATAACTGGCATCATGCTGTAGGTGTGGGAATGTTTAAAAGAGAAAAACCGCTTCTCTTTCCAGCCCTGTCCATGTTCCGCGGGTACGGATTTGTGCAGTTTGAGCGGGCCGAGGAGGCAGAGGCGGCAAAGGCTGGACAAACCGGTCGCATTTATAGAGGTTATAAACTAGGTAAGACTTCACTGGCACCGGGTTCGAGTCTCCCCCACGGAGAGCGGCGCTTGCCGGTTTGTGGTAAATATTCCACCCCTGCTGTCTGTAATTGGAAAAAACATGTACGGCGCTGTAAAGCTCAGGGCTATTTTCGACAGTTTCTCATGGTCTGTATTTTAAATGTGAGACTTTAGAAAAGCATATTTTTTGTTTGTTTGATGTTTTATAATTAAAAAAATGTAAAATATGTGCTTGTGGCATTTCTATCAAGGGTTCCGGTCATTTCAACGCAGCTGCAGTGAAGATTTTAATGTCTGCGTCTTATTTTCTGTTTGCTTCAATTTCATTTTTCGCAAAAGAATGAACGGATGTACTCTTAAAGGACCAGGAACCTGTCAGGCAAACGGGTTCTACAGACACCGCTGAGACAAACGAGTTTCAGAAGAGTTTCATCTCTGTCTAAAGCCGTTGAATGTTGCTTCTCCTCGTCGTTTTTAAGGAGAAGCCAGTAGAGGGTTTTGCGTCACGGTAATTAAAAGGGGGAGTAAAACTGAAAAGCCTGTAGCCTCAGAGACATTACTTTCTGGTGATGTTTTCAGTGCCAGGCTTGAAGAACACTCCAGTGCACTTTCTCATGGCTGAGAGTTTTCTTCTGGGTCTGAAATGAGAGACGTGTTATTTGTATGTATATTTGATATTTATATTTTAAATGTTTCTTCCATGACACTTGAATATATGGTGAATTAAAAAGCATATGAGCACTGTGGTTGCATTTGCTTCCTGATGGGGGGGGGGGGGATATTTCATTTCTCCCCCAGTCGCAAAATCCTGGATTTTTGAAGCTTCAGTCATTTCACATGCACCTTGAAAATATAATATCAGAGCTTTTTGGATGCAGTTATTGCTGTCAGATAATTTTATGGTAGTTGTGAAGTATGAATTTGACGTTGGAAGATGTGAAACTTGCTCTGAAGGTTGTTAAAAATGTGTCAAGATGCCAAACGAAACAAAAGGTCACTCCCTTTTCTCTGTGTGTGTATGTATACAAACATGTATATGTATTGCTTTAGAAACCTTCGATAAGTTACTACTGCAATACAAAACCGAATAATTTAATGGTTTCGGGGGTCACTGTACTTAACATCCCCAGTTTTCCTGGTGGGATGAATTTGTACTTTCAGGTGTACTCTTTAAAACCTGGATTCCCCCAGGGGAGCAGAAGGACCCTAAACACGAGTAGTTCAAAGGTTTAAATCAAACTCTGTAAAATATTAAAATATCTGACAAATTTTAAAGCAGTTCTATAGATTTTGCCGAGAAGATCCATGTATCTTGTGTACTTTTCAAGATGCAAGAAACACTCGGTTATAAACGTCCCTAGCTGCATTTGTATGGAGAACAGGAAAAACGAGCACTATTTATCGCCCTTATTTGCTTGCGCCTCACGGTGTATTTTTTTATTTTTGCGAATCGTTTATTTTTTTAACATTATTGATGTGTTGAACGTGTGGGTTGGTTTATTTTCAGATATTAATATGGCGGCGGAGCGGCGGCAGAATAAAGCTCATTCCCGACAGAGCCCCCCTCGCAGGTAAAGTAACGCTGACAGGTGACACGCTGCGTGTGGAGAAGCAGGGGCGAGAGCCACCCGCCTCCGGTGACCCAGCCCGCCGGGCCCGTCCTGCGCGGCGACCCGGTTCGCTCGGACGCGGTGCTTCTCGCAGCCTCCTGTCGCTGGCGCTCACGGGACGATCCCAGCAGTGGACGGGTTTTTATCTGCGATCTGTTCTGTACGTGGTGATGCTCTAGCCCCGCGTCTGTCTTGGATACGACTACAATTTATCTCTTTATATATTTTCTCTCCTGTTTCGGGAGCCTGAATCGATCGTACCGAGTTAAATCCGCGCAAAATTTTGATTTCCCGTCTTTTATGAGCCTCTGAAGATCTGACTACCTCCAAGTCTGTTTTGAACCCCCTTTTTAAAAAAATAAAAACATCGTTTCCAGCCACCGGTGCGTTGATGTGCACACCAGAGGTTTCTCTTGACCTCTGCAAGGAGATATTTGTAATTATAAACGGATGGCACGGAAGGAGAGTACATCACGGATGTACGTGAACAGGAGATGCTCTGGAATAACGCTCATCATTTCACTGTTGCGTTTGAAGACCCGTTTCTCTGGAGTATTTCCATTCATCGCTACGCGTGGAATCTCGTATGATAAGATGGAGACGAGTCGGCCCTTGCGTGGGCAGCTGTAGCATTTCACTGCGTTGGGAAAACGGGAGGCGGAAAATGAGTTTCCTAATGGAAGAGATAAGAGAACACTCGTTTTTTTTTCGTTTCTTCTTGCAAGGACTGGGGAAGTCTTTCCAGAGCCCGCTCTGATTCTCTCTGCTCTGCGGGAGGCTTTTCGCCAGAACTAAATGCTTCAGGTCCGATTTGTAACGGGAAACGACCAGACTGCGCGCGTAAAACTTTTTTACCCCCTCCTTTTAAAATGTGAAAATCTTGACCATATCCAGTTTGCTTTGTTTGGGTGCAGTATTTTCCCAGGCCGGAGAATAATGACTTTCCCGTCATTATGAACTCCGAGCTGCTGCACTAAGGCGCGTACAGTTCGGAAGAGGCTGGGGGCGCTTCCCGGGGGTCAAACTGAGTCCGTGGAGCGGCCGCTAGTTCCGGCATGAGCTCGGCGCGTTGGGGTCCGAGGAATGACGCTGGAGCTGGACTGGACGTGGCCGGACGGCTCAGCCCTCTCCGGCTCCGAGCCGGGTCCCCCTCGGTCCGGCCGGCTGTCCTGCTCCAGCTCTCCCGCTCCGGGGGCTGCTGACCGCTCGTCTCTCTCTTTGGGGTGTTTTTTTTAATCTATATTGATAAATGAAGGAGACTCTCCACCTGCGTGCGGCGCCCGCCCCCTGACTCGTGCCGCTCCCCCC